TTCGGATGGATCAGGGCTATGCTATGCTAACTGGTCACAGTAAAATACAACAATAGCTGGAATAAAGTTACAGATAGAACTCACCAGGTAGTTCAACTTCCTTGCTTTCTTTTCTCCAGTAATGTCCAGTTTTGTCCGGTTTTTATATAAATACAAAGACAGAGCTCTAGGTGCCGACCAGCGATAACAACAACAGTGGAACTGGATGTGCACAGAAGCTAGCTGCTGAGAAGCTCGAGTGTTGATAAATCAACGATGTAATCCCAAAAACTATAGTTTTAAATTAGCTTTTTACTTTATAAAGCTTTTTACTTTATAAAGTAAAAAGCTAATTTAATAAAAGCAGTTTACTCCAAGCTCCTCCCATGAGCAAACGGCGTGACAGGAAATCGCGGCTCTCCGCGTCTTTGCATTGACTTTGTATGTAAACGCTCACTTTGCTTTTAGTCTGAAAGCACCATTAGAATGAGCCATTTCTATGTACATACACCGCTGGTCCTCTACATGGAAGTCGCCTTGTTGCAGTGCCATGTTTCTACAGTTGCACAAAGAATGAACTGCTCTACAGAGCGCGTTTCATCACCACGTTAAATACGTACGAAGAGGTAGTATTAGTAGTCTGGTTTGTCATCAGAGAATTGAAATTTGGACAAATGGAGGCCCACACGTCTTATTTAGCACGAGAGCCGACAGATTGTGTTGGCCACCGTAGTTTCTCCTGAGCACTTGCAAAGGGAAGGTTGAGCAGCGAGTGAGTCGTTTATTGCAATCAGATCAGATGTTTTTTCTTGTCTTGTCTTGTCTTTCAAAACTTTTTGATAGCATTTCCCATCTGTTTTCATATCAGGCATAAAAATTAACAAATTTCACATTTAAGATTGTTATTTTTATACACATAGATTTGAAGAATTGGCTAAATAAGCTACTAAAATCAGTTCAGCATTCAATAATGTCGTGGAAGTCACAAGAGACAGATTATAAAATTAATCTTTGTAGCAGAGAACAAGATGTTTCAACTTGTTTTCCCTTGTATGGGTCACAATGTAATTTGATGGCCTCTTTCATTAGACGCGCTCTGTGAAAATGTGTCCTTTTAAACCCCACACCTCCTGTTTGTAATACATTTTTCTTTCAAAAAGAGTCTGATTGTAAAAATTATCATCAAATGGCAAAACATTTTTGGAGAAAATTCCAAGACAATTCTTGAATTCTTGAATAGATTAGATTTCTAGTGCCAAAGCAGCATCATATGATAAAGGTAAAGCAAACCAAAGCTGTGAATACAGAATGTACATAGCGCCACCTGATTGCACATGTTCAGCATCCAGAGGAAAAGCTGCCTCACCGCCACAGCTGCCTTCCAACACCTGCAGCTTCAGACTCAGCTTCAAAAGGAATAAACACTGAAAGCAAAGGCAGGACGTTTGAAAGGAGCTTAACATCCTCAGCAAAGGAACTTTTCACTCATGTAGGCTGCATTGTGTTTTTGGACACAGGCAAGAGAGGCAAATGAAGCAGTTGGGATAATCTGACCCAACAGCCACAAAATCCAAGCTGAGAGCCATGGAGGAGGCAAGTCAAATGCTAACTAGATTCAACGCTGAAAGACGGCGAAATAAAGTTAAGTGACTTTGACCTTCAAGTAAGAGTCAAATCCAACTTAAGCTTGACAGCGGAAAATCAGGTTAAACCTCTCTACCAGAGTTCTTTCCAATTCATCCAGCGTGTCGCCAGGGATCACAAGAAATAACAAAAGTTTCAGACGGGAAAATGAAAGCGGCGACACAAGGGAGCAATGCATGGTGGCAGCAGTGTGGGTGCTTGTGCATGTGTGTGTTGGGGAGATTAAAGATATGACATGGGGAAATGATGCCAAGTTCCACCTCTACGTCTTCTTTTCCAAAGTTGTCCTCACGGGCCCTAGTAAGTTTAAAAATAGAGCTTTTCTAATGGAGAAGAGGGCCAAGGGGAAAGAGAAGAGAGAAAGTGTACAGAGACTTGAGGAGTCCTCTGTGGTAGCAGAATGCAATTTGAGATTGGCCAGATTGCTTTTTTTTTTTTCTTTTGGTCCCTTCTCCCCCTCGGCCGCTCATGAGGCGTGATATGCACCGGCGGGGTCCCTAAGCCGCCATAAGCCTGACGCCAGTACCCACCCCGCCTCCGTGGAGCCGTCGCACTCACAGCACGAGAAAAATCAGCGCGATGAAATAAAAGAGGGACTCGAAAGAGATCAGCTGGGATATTGGGAGTGAGAGATGAGAGTCAGGAGAGCAGCAGGAGAGGGTAGAGAAAAGGGGAAGGAGTGAAAGAATAAAGATAGCTTCGGTGGGATTACGGCAGGATATGGCAGAATGTAAATGCATGGCTGAATTCTCACGGTCACATTGCATTGTGAGAGGTGCTTTGTTACGGGCCTTTGTTACCGGTGTGTCCTCCCTCTGAATGAACCAGTTTGGACAAATATACTCACAGTCAGACAGGAAGTGTCTTGGAAGAAACAGGCGCTGAATGTTTTCCTCTGTCTCTCTCCGTCACCTTTAGGAGGAGAGGGCTCAGCCGAGGCAGGGCAGAAGGAAACGTCCACCTGTGATATTTGCCAGTTTGGGGCTGAGTGCGATGTGGACGCCGAGGATGTTTGGTGAGTTTGCACACACAAGCACACCCACAAAATCCATGCTGTGTGACCCCGGTTGACCTACACAGCTAGACTCAAGTCATCTTGACACCTTCTAACATTTTTCTATCAATAAAAGAACCTCCTACATTTGTTATTTGAAGCATTTTAGCAAGTTTGAACACTAAGAATTTAGATTAGAATTCTTCTTTATACTGCACACCCCTGCCGCCGAACACCCACTGAGGTTCAGTGCATGGTTGACCATTTCATTTAACCTCAATTACTAGAGCAGGGCACGGAGAGAGAAAGGAGATTTTCGCTTATTCTGGAAATCCAATTACTATCCTTACAGGACTTGGCAATGTCAGGCCAAAAATGACTTTGACTCACACAAGGAAAACTAGTTCAGTGAAGAAATAACGAAATTTAACCGTTTATTGCAGATGAGACTGACGCAGGTCCCCCCCCCCCCTCCTCGCGTGCATTAGAAAGGAAGTGGCAAAAAACATCCTCAGGGATACATAATAAACATGTGAGTGCAGAGCCCAATTCGATGAAGACTCAACTGGTGAACTGTTTCCTGCACCAGACAATAGCATCAGTGTATTTGCTTTCTACAGCATGAATGAAGCTTAAAAGAACCAACATTGCTGATTTGGTGTGGAACGAGGATCAGCTGCTATCAGCAAAAGGAAGGCAGTGCTTATAAGAAATCCCAGACGTCCCGCTAGAAATTAGAAGTGCCCTGGGAGTATGACTCTATCAAACGGCTTGATGTAATGGAAAGATAATGTACCCTGGTGTGCAATAACCGTAATGCCAAGGAGCGGTTTCATGAGGCATTCTGAGCCTTGTTGCAAATACCAAACAGCTGGAGTCCACTCCTCCTCATGCCACCCACTTTCACAAATGCACCTTAATATTCTACTAAAACATAGAAATGGATTTATTGGCAATTTCTTAATACCCGAAGGTAGAATCCATAAGGCAACGACAGCACACAATGTACTGCAGACGATCTCAAAAAACTGGAAACATAAAAAGAAGATGGAGCCTAAAGCACATGCCGCATAAGTGGAACAAAGGCAATTACATACTGTGGGATGTTTGCCTGCACAATAAGAAGACAGTGGACAATACAAGAGAGGCAGCCTAAGTCAATAATGTATCTCGTTAAAAAAGCAGTTGACATAAACAGGCATATGAATATTTCAGTGTCCCTTCTTGTAAAACGGAAACTACAAGTACTCTTTAATCTTTCAAAAGCCCCAAGGTGTTTTGATAAGAATGTTTCTGGTGAATAATCAGATAGGTAATTGCAACCTAACAGCAGGTGATTTTCATCAAACAGCAACCGAGCGCTGGCGTAGCGTAGGATCATTTTGATTAAAATGACAGGTTATTCTAATCAGGCGCTAGCTGATTTTAATCAAACAAACTGTCAGTTAATCAAACAGGGAGTGGCGAGGGCTGTAATCAAAGGCCAGGTGACGGTAAAGTGATGTGTTTGTAATAGTGCATTATTCTTATTTTCGTACAAACAATACAGAGTGATAAATAAATGCTGTTCTGTAAATGGTGAGCCACTGTATTAAGTGCTGTGATGCTTTCTGATAATCAGACTGAAGTGCCATTTTGTTTTCACTTCATTAGTCAGTCTGGCGTTTTATTCATGTTAGTCGCGTTCGGCTTGGGTTTTTTCATTTTGCCCTAACCGATCAGTAGCAGGTGATTTATCCTTCCTGCCAATGTTGTATTCAGCCAACACAGAAGCTCCGTAAGAGGCTGCCGAGAGCAATTAACTTAACAGTCTGTCATGTTGATGCAAGACATGTTCTTTTTTTAAAGGACTTATTCACATGAGAAGGTCAGCACCTCTCTCTACAGACAGGCGAAGGTTGTTTCCTGCTGTTTCCTGCATGTGTCCTAATGTTAAGCCAACCGACCAGCCTCATAGTTAATGGACAGATGTGAGAGTGGTGTTGAGTTTCTCATCTAGCTCTCGGTAGGAATGGGAATTGGCGTATTTCCCAAAATTTCTGTCGGGATCAGACTCTATGATCGCTGCGATCGTGGAGTCTTATATTCTTGCTGTAACTCGGCCAACAGACATGGCTACACGCGTGATGTCTTTCTTGAGTTGCATGACATAGTGCAAGCGACCATTTACTGGCTTTTTCTGGCTTTGGCACAGGACTCCATATTCTTAATCCCACCTAAAAAAGCTCCAACTGGCTGATTATTAATTTATTTGAATTGCTGTGCAGCAATTCATTGGTCTGGAACCATGCTAAACTCAACTAACTATAAAAGCCTCCATGCAATGAATGCATAACTTATCAAACTGTAAACAAATGCCGAGACTCATAACTGCTGGTGGTGTCAACGATATTCTATGTGGCCTTGGAAAGTTTGATGTTTTTCTTTTTTTCATACCTCATTATTATTATTTTTATACAAGTTGACAGCATAAAGGAATGCAAGCCTATTATAATGAAAGGTTTTCATAATGTGCTGAGATATGAGGCTCTGACTTTCACGGAGCAGTCTGGTCAGGAGAAAATTGCTATTTCATTCATTTATCATCATTTGTGACTCACCATCTGGATTGAAATTAGGAAAAGAAAAATATGCCCAGGGATGTGGTCGAAATACTGTATGTTAGTTGAACCAATTTTTCGCTGAACTATACTGCATTTGACCCTGCTGTGGCGAAGAGCCTTGCTATCCTTACACCACCCCTCTGTAGCTCTCTGTACTCTGGAGGCAGGCGGCAGGCAAAAAAGACCAATTTACCCCTCAAGGATCAATAGAGTGTCACGAAAACCCATTTAGATCCATTTGTGGTGTAAAACTGTAATTACCCACAAAAACCCATGCTTTCAAACCCATCAATAGCACCCACCGGTGTTGATAGAATTAAGGTAGAGGAGGAGCAGATAGCGAGCTTGTCATAGAGAGGGGCTGCAGGGACACTTGCTGTGTGAACGCTGGGTTTAGACCTCCTGAGAAAGCAGCTAGAGGCTTTTCAAAGCCGGCACTTGAGTCCTTATTGAAGCCCATTCTATGAAGAACAAAAGGGAATTTCAATGAAAAGCCAGACAAGTCACAGGCCAATGGGAAAGGTGGGAGACTGCCTTTATTTCCTTGAGCAGAGTCCCTGCACACACACACACACACACACACACACTTGGCACAGGAAGATGAACTCAACACTCTTAATCCCACCTAAAAAGCTCCAACTGGCTGATTCATCTATTAATCCACTATATTGTTATTATTATGGCATTACTACCTGCAGCACCAACTATACGTTTTACATTATAACGACAGCAAGAAATCCTTCTGCACCTCCGTTTGAGGAGAGACCAAAGAGATGGGTGGCAGTGAGCTTCTATAGTGGCCCTCTGTTTGAAAAGATGAGCTGTCACGGGAGATTTATGATTGTGTCCTTATTTCGATGCATTTCTCCGTGCATATTTTTGTTTCCCCGGTTTATACAGCAAACGCCGAACTTCGTGTAAATTGTCTGAAAGTCCGAGCCATCCAAAAAATGCTTTCACACCAGAAATGAACCGAACCATGGTTCAGTTTGATCCGGACCGAAACGACCTCTTTTTTGCCTTGAGAGGTTTCACACCTGCAATTTTGGTTTGGACCAAACTGAAAAGCCAGAAAGTCCGGGCCAAACGAGGGAGGTGTGAAAGCCCCCCATAGTGACCAAAATGATCACATCAAAAGTACTGAAACACACACTGAAAGCACTTCACCAAGTTGTATATTGAAAACCTCAAATACAGTTAGCAGCACTGTGCACTTTATGTTTGCATAAAGATTAAAATAATAAAAGCCAATAACTTATGTAAACATATGAAAACCATATCAAATGAGCATTAACATTAAATATGTTTATAATGACCCCATGTGCAATTTGCATAAATACAAATAAGTCTAAGGAAGACAGGTGATTTATATAAATACGGAGAATCTTGTGTAGGAGTCTGCAGAGTTTCTCCTGTTTGAACACTACAGCCCAAAAAAATTCAAGATATTTTTGGGGGCATTTTTTGCCTTTATTTGAGAGGACAGTGGATGGAATGAGGAACGAGGGAGAGAGATAGGGGGCGACACGCAGCAAAAGGCCACAGGCTGGATTCGAATCCGGGCCACTGCGGTAAGGACTCGGCCTTGTACGCGGGGCACGCGCTCTACCAACTGAGCTAAACGCACCCTGACGGCCGTGTTTTAAAGGAACAAAATATGTTGGTTGGGAGACTAAATTACGTTGCGTGATATTGTGTGCAATCTGTGTGTGCTGTATAAATGTGAGTCTGCAAACACACATGCATACAGCAGCGGAACAACATGTAGTGTTTCAAGAGTAGGTTACAAGTTGTTAGCGAGTCACATAGACAAACTGTGTCGTTTTTCCGAAGTCCCCACATCCATTGAGCTGAAAGCTAACTTACCCCGCATTCACTGTAAAGTGATTTGATTTGATCAAGTTTCCCCCAGCACTGTTATAAAAAGCAAAATCCGACCAGACTTCAGACTGGCTGGAAAATCTTTATGGGAGCTCCATGTGTGCAACATGCGTCTGAGAGACTAACTTTGGTTGATGCAGGACAGTATTTACCGTGAGTTCTTCAAAGCGTGGTAACCAAACACGTTTTAATGATCATTAAAATTTGAAATGATAATACTGTCGGGAATTTTACCGTAATTTATCATGTTCATTTTGTGTGTCTTTGTGGTTGTTTTGCATCTTACTGTCATAGTTTTCTGTTTCTTTGCGTTCATTTTGTGTGTCTTTGTGGTTGTTTTGCATCTTACTGTCATAGTTTTCTGTTTCTTTGCGTTCATTTTCTATGTCTTTGTGGTTGTTTTGCATCTTACTGTCATAGTTTTCTGTTTCTTTGCGTTCATTTTCTATGTCTTTGTGGTTGTTTTGCATCTTACTGTCATAGTTTTCTGTTTCTTTGCGTTCATTTTCTATGTCTTTGTGGTTGTTTTACATCTTA